TGCAGACTTAAGACCATGTGTCAGTTCAGCAACAACATGACCGAGAAAAGAAGCTATTTCAGCTAATGGACCTAGCAACAAGGATTCCAAAGAGTGAGGGGACTGGGAGCAAGGCTGAAAGAAATAGCTGGAAGTTTGCAGAAATGGGGAATAATAGAAGAGATGTAGCCATGCAGCTAAAATCAGATTGTGGCCCAGGAACGGTTTTAGATTTAACCTTTACTCTTTCAAGTCTCACTTCACATTAAAATACAAACATAACAAAAGGCTTTTGCAAAATTTACCATCAACATTCATTTGAGTATATGAATAAGCATTTGCACAGACAAACCAAACTGTAGGTATGCAATTACCTTTTTTTGCATGCTCTAATATTGGCTTATTTGTGAATGAGAGTGGTCTGCAAATGCATCTGTAGAAACCCACTGAACATATAGACCAAAATAGTCAAGGACTAGATTATGAAAAAGACATAAAATAATTGTTGTCATTCTCCTTAATTCACGTTTTGTTTCACAGGTATGCATGTCATATGTGGTTCTGTAATAATGTGAACCACAGAATGAGTTAAGGATGAAAGGAAAACCATGGCATAGATCCTCAACTGGTATAATTCAGAGTTGCTCCACTGTTTTAAATGGGGTTACACTGATTTATGCCTGCTGAGAATCTGGCCCATGGTTTTCCTTTTATCCTTAACTCATTTTAGAGAAAATCAGATTGAGATCCATGGAGCTACTCTGGTTTACACCAATGAAAGCCCCCACAGGTATGAATCCTGTTTCTGATAGACCCTATTTAAGCTCTTTCCAATATATTCATTTTATATCGTTTAACTTACCTTGTTGGTTTAACCATTTAAAAATATTCCCTTTGGACTTGGAACCCAAATGTCTATAGTGAAATGTTTGGGGGCTGGACTGTATCTTTCCCTCCTCATCATGCCCTTGTTCATAGTGTTACGAAGAAACTCATTCTTTCATGCACCCTCATCCAGCATCACTTCAAGGCTGACCAGCTGTGTGTAACAAAAAAAGTTCCACGACCAGATTCCAGATATCTTGGCAAATACCAGAGAGAAGTGGCATTAAGAGCCTCTCAAACCAAATAGGAAAGGCTCTACATCAGGTGTATGTCGATCTAACCACAAAATCTCTGAAATATTTTGAAACTGTTTCCTCACTAGTTCCTGCTTCAAAGTTTCTGTTGTAACTTCCTGGAAATTCCTTATAGTTTTATGGCAATACCAGCTACATGTTCAAGGATTTTTCTAAAGAAATACCCTAATAAATTCACAGCATCAACTATGAAATAGCAAGACTAAGTCATCAGCAATGATCATTGTATTTCTATCTTAGGGTTTCGCACTGCTGCCCATCTCTGTGGCATCTGATCCTCCTTTACATAAATTGGAATGAGAATAAAAGTTCTTCATCTCCTTGTTACTGAAGTACAGCTTTGTGCCAACACTCAAAACTCAGTACTATAAAACAGGGACAACTTGGTCATTAATATTTCTGTTCAAATTTTTAAAAATTGGATATAACAAATAGATTTGCCAAAGAAAGCTATTTCAACTGTGAGTGCCCTTGACAAGCTGAAAAGTTACTTTAAATGCAATTCTGGTAAGTACTGCAGGTCTGAATCATCAAACCATTTAAGAAGTTTAACCATTAATTTATTAAATCAAATTGTCATTTAATAGAATAAGCATACATAAAAAAAATACTGGGCCCAATTCCCTACTCACAACAATGTAAATAAGAGGTAACCTCATCAAGGTCAATGGAGTTACACTGGTGCAAGTAACAGGAGAATAAGATCCATTATTTATTCAGTTGAATATATAACGTAAAAGGGTTGCTAACGTGGTCCTCGCATTCTAGGGGACGGAAACAAACAAAATAAGGATTAAAAAGGTACAGTTTTAACAAGTTCCCGCTCTAAAGATAAAAGAAAATTGCTATGTTCTCCTTGTTTGGAGTGGGAAAAATGACTGTTCACTAGTCAAGCTTAGAATGGGGACTCAGATATGTAAAATAAACATTTATTTTCTCAGCAAAGACAGCAAACAAATACCAGGCCTAACCCTCTTCTCAAAGCCATAGAACCAAGCCTGGTGGCTTGTTTGTACCCATCCCACAGCTATAGGTTCATAATGATGCCCCAGTTGATTCAGCAAAGTGCTGAGAATTCCTTCGTGGTGCTGATTACCCTCAGTTGCCACCAACTCCAATAGGAGCTGAGAAGTGCTGAGCATCCTCAAGAGTGCTAAGCATCTTACAGGACCAAGCACTTGGTGCTTAATCTCCTGAGTCCAATTCTGAAACATGGATACCTCAGTCAGATGTCCCAGTCCTACGTTTGGACACCCAAGCCAGCAAGTAAACACAAGAAGGGGTCATTTACCCACCTAAGGGCGAGTTTGAGTATTCAAATGTGGTATTTATTGTCCACTTCTGAAAACTGGGCTCCACATGTTTCCATCTGGCCCCATACTGACCTGATGCATTTATTTTGTAAGCTACAAAATTCCCATAGTACTTAAGGAAAAAAATCCAGCAGCTAGACAACAAATGGCTTTATTATAAAAACAATTTTCTGAAAGTTAACAACTCTTCCTTCCTTTTTAGCCCTGCATGGGGTCAGAGAGTTTGAGAGCATTTAGTAAATAAGCCTGCCTCTGTGGACTTCATTGTTTACCTGATAACGTGAGCATCAACTGCACCACAGGAAGCATTCAGACAGAAACACTTACGTTATTGCCAATGTTCAGAGGACAGCCGCACTGCCATCATCCTGACACAATCAACATGCAAATTAGCTCTCAAACATCATGTCTGCATGCTTATATCAACCACTGAGACCTAATTTTCATTCAGACTGTATCCTCATACCACGCTCCTGTAGAGCAATTTCAGAGAGGTGACAAAGTTCTCAGTAGCTGAGATCCAAGGCAACCTGGTCACATTATCCACTAGATACTGATCAGAGCTGAAAGTACATGCAGGATTTAAGGAAAGGAAACAGCTGAAACTTCCCAGAAACCCCAGATAGACAGCAGCCTTCGGGGGGTCAACTGAAATACACAGAAGTTTCCAAATCAGCATTCCAAAGAGATAAATGGAGGAAGCTCTCACATCTCTTGGGGAAGAATTATGACCCCCTCCCCTGCACCAATGGAGGCTTCTCTAATAGCAGGACTAGTGCAATTCTGTAGTGATAGGAATGAGATCGGACTTAGGGTTTGTCTACCTGGACTGACTGTGGGGCTCAGGCTGTGGGGATACTTAATTGCAGTATAGACATCCAGGCTCTAGGACCCTGTGAGGTGGAAGGGTCCCAGAGTTCAGGCTGCAGCCTGAGCTGGAACTTCTACACCACAATTAGCCCCATAGTCTGAGCCCCATCAACTGGCACGGGCCATTTTCAGGTTGCAATTGCAGTGTAGACATATCCTAAGGGAACCTCTGCAAGAGTTATACAGCCCTTGCATGTTCTGAAGCTCAGTTCTATGGGAACTCCCTGTGTACTAGCAGGGATTTGGGGCAAGGCTGGTGAATCCACCATTATCTCAATCATCCATTTTCCCCACATAATGGAGATGCAAGCCACAAAGGTTACTCCAGTGTTCTAGTCCAGAGGTACTACTTAATTACTCAGGTTGTTCACTGAGGCACGAGTTTTGGCCTGAGGCAGATATTTCAGGCAGTGTGTGTGTAGACTCAAAGACAACGCTGCCTCCATTGTTCTGTTCTGAAGATTATTTTCACACAAACATAAGGGCTACAGACATTTTTAAATGAAATCTGCAGAACCCCCACTGACTAGGCAAAGTTCCTATTTACCATTAGCAAGTAGACTCAAGCCCTAATCCCCCGTGTCTTCCTCTATTGAAAATACAGAATTTTGAGCAAAGGCAAATCACTTCAGTTAGTGTGTTATAGGTTTACTTTGCTTTCTGCAAACAGCAATTGGTACAGCAATTTAGAAATAATCCTGTCACACAACTGGAAATGATGGAGACACCTTTAAAATATGGCTTTGGGCTTCTACAAAAAGCATGGTATGAAATGCAATAATTGGACCAAATTTACTCAGGACAACTCTCAAGACCTTTCCTACAAAAGCCAGTTTGAAACACTTCTATATTTTAGACCAAGCATAAACAAACATATTGCAGTACTGCTCACAGTATTCTAACACAAGGTGCAATTAACATAAATAGATTGTAAATAGCATGCTACATATGGATGCAGAACTCTGGTGTTAACACAGGACGTTTTCTGACTTCTTACCTTCTGCTACCTCATGGCACCAGTATATGCCATTGTATGTAATGTATGCAGTGTTAACCCCGGGATATTAGAGCGACACGGTGAGTGTGGTAATATCTTTTATTGGACTAGACTATGTCAGTGAGAGACAGACCCTTTGGAATTTACACAGAGCTCTTTTTCAGGTGAGACCTTAAGACCTGAAGAAGTTTGTCACGCTCACAGACAGAATTTGGGCCAATAAAAGATATTACTTCACCCATCTCATCTCTCTAATTGTACATAATGGATATAGCTGATCCATCCCATAGTACAGCAGGTACATTCTAACTAGATGAAATGAACCTGAAACATCTGGAAGCACATTTAATAAAAGTCCCAAAACATACTCATAACAGACTTTTTCAAATCACCAATCAGATGTAGACAAGATTTTTTTGTGCTTTTTCAAATTTTACTTAGACTTTTTTTTGCCTCACAAAACCCAGTCTCATCCGGTTCAGCCTTCACCACAAGACGAATGCTGTCTGTTTTCTTTTTGAAAGACACACGTCACTGTGCACTGAAAAAGGGGAACTTCCACAGCCTGTGGTTATGTTGCATGATAAACAGATCTGTTCACACCAATTCGAGAGGCGGCTTGGATCAATAAAAGGCAACAGGCACCAGAGGCAGCAAGCAGACATTTGCGGCTCTCAGGACTATCTCTTCAGAAGTCACACACCGAGATTAAGCAATATGCCAGGATTATTTTTTTCTCACAACCACCCAACCGAACTGAAAGAAGCAGATTGCAAGCTTGGAGAAGGCAAAGTTCATAAAAGGAAGCAAAAAGCTTTGTAAGTATATGTGACTTACTGTCAAATGAAAATGTATCTGGAGTGAAATTAACGTTAGCAAATTGAGAATTCAGAATTAGTGCCATTTCACAGAGTTCACCCACAGCAAAGCATTTTCTGCATAGCATGTTCAATGCTATAAAACGATAACATTATTCTAACAGGGCTTGAATGGAAAGGGATATGGATGAGAAGTTCCTAAGTTGAATATAAAAATGAGTGGGTAGGAAAGAAGGAGCAATTGCTTGTAATTACTTGCATAAGTATCCCATTGGCATCAACCCTGGAAGTGAATGATCTGGTCCTAAATGTTTACAAGTCGTAAGACCTTCATACAGAATGCTACCTAACTGTAACTGTGTTTAACCAGTATCATCCATTCATTACACATGTCTGATCATTGGTTTCAGTGGTGCAGATCTGAAAAGCTATTTGAAGTCCATGGTACCACATCTTGAATCTAGCAACAAGTCTAACACCAGAAATGTGACGTAAGTACTGGATTCTAGAAATACATAGTAATTATGAACTAGGGCTAGATTGCCATATTTTGTCCTCACAAACAAGTCTATTAAATTTTTACTCATGTGTAAAGTATATGATGAACCATAAAGTATTTCTAAGATCAAGCTAATTTCAATTTCCTAGTTACAAAAAGGGTTTTTATAAACCGGGCATCACCACACAGAGGGTACCAATGGAGTTGAAATAATTTTTTATGTTTTCCTTTTTTCCATTTCCTTTTTAATTGTTTATGGGCAGTTCAGTGGTGCTCATCACCACACCTATTCATTAATAGGTCACTTATATTATTAATGAATTAAAGCCTGACAACACCCTTGTGAAGTAGAGAAATATTACTATCCCTGTTTTAGAGATAGGGATAACAATGAAACACATAGGTGAAGTGACTTGCCCAAGGTCACAAAAGAAGTTAATGAGTTTTGGAATGAAAACCAGGTCAATCCAGGACTTTAACCACAGACCCTCCATTCTCCTTTTATTTACTTCAAGAACTCTGATGCTTCTTATTTGTCCGAGTTAAGGGGCAACAGCATGCCACCAATTTCATGCAAAGTCCACCAAAGATTTTATGAGCAAGCACTGCATTTTCATAAAATTGAATAATCAATTGTATTCTTTAAGTATTCTTAAGAGGCCATTAATTAATTTAATTAATTAAAATAACTAAACAGTCAATATTTTGTTTCTTGCATTAAGTATTTTTTCTTTTGGTCACCACAGGCTTTCTGCAGAAGAGGTGATGCAATGGTCCCAGTCTTTGGAAAAGCTTCTTGATAGCCAAAGTAAGTGTATTATTTTATCACTACTACTTTCTTATGTTAATCTAGTGAGCTTTCATGCAGACTAAACAAATCTATGAAGCTATAGCATTTTGTGAATAATGCTCAAAACAATGGCCAATAGCCTTTCAGTAATTCACATCTTCACTGTCACATGGCTACCTATTGTAATATATTGCCTTAACTTTATAGCCCATCCTTTCCATAGGAAATGGAAATAATCTCATTAAATTCAATCGGGTTGGATCAGATTCCACATGCCCTCATTACTCCAAATAATGCAGATAAGAGTTATGTGTGCACTTGGAGCCAAAGTCAGACCATGCAGAGAAGAACAGACTCCCACTGACTTCAGTAGCCTTTGGATCAGACCCCTCATTTGCAGTGCACTGCAAATATATATATATATATATATACTGTATATTTCAGCAAAATCTTATTACTATAATAGGAGACTTCAATGTGACCTTTACCTTAATTGTATTTATTTTATCCTCCCCAATTTAAGTTATAAATATAACATTATAACTGATTAAGTACTTGTGTTTGCTATAGGTGGTCAAGTTGCCTTCAGGGAGTTTCTGAAGTCAGAATTCAGTGAGGAGAACATTGAGTTCTGGCTGGCTTGTGAGGACTATAAGAAAACCAAGTCTGATCACTTGCAAGACAAGGCGGAGAAGATTTATGAAGAGTTTGTTCAGATAGATGCAGCTAAACAAGTAAGCACAAAGTTAATCTGTACTGTGTTATATATGAAAGATTATGGGAGTTGGCAAGGGATAGAAATGGGGCTGTACCAGGACAAATACATCTTTAATAAAACAGGAAGAGAAGCCATAGGTTCTTATATTTTCATTAAGTCACCTTCTGCCATACTGCCTTGAGCTCGTAAGGTGAAAGTAGTGCTGGTGATTCAACAGGTGGCACTCTTCCCTCTAAGTCAGTGCTGATTTGAGCAAGATGTTAAGAGACAGTTCTAGAGATGCCGTCACTTGAATGAGAAATGAAACCAGTCTGGATCATTTATGTTCCTTAAAGATCCAAGGACACTTTGGAGAAAAGTGGAAGTGTTAGCATAGGCCATATTCCAAACTAGATGCCTACATCCTACCAAAAAATCCTGCTGCAATTTTAATTGGATATTTTATTCTTCACTTTCTGTCCTAAGTTGTTACTCTCTCTGATCCCAGAAGTGGCTGCATTGCACCAATGAATGGCAATTCCTGTGTATAGTTTGTATACCTTTTTTTTTTTTTTTAAGTTCAATCAATTTTGAATGAAAGGTGCTATTTAAGGATAGATTAATTATTGTAGCTCAAAGAAACCTTGGACAGAGTTTTAAGACTGAGAGTCTGTGTTTCAGGAAGATAAAGTGACAAATATAGCAGCAAAAATTATTTTTTTAAAAGATATTAACAAAGTTTGATTTTCTCTTCCTAGATCAATATTGACTATCGTACAAGGAAAGCTACAGCTAAAAAGGCTCAAGACCCAACTTTCACAAGTTTTGATGAAGCCCAAAAAACTGTATATGTGCTAATGGAGCGGGACTCGTATCCTAGATTCTTGAAATCAGAAGCCTACCTTAATCTTTTAAACAAGCTTCATGTCAACAGTGTTAAGTGAGCAGTTTGGTGCCATGGAAATCTGAGGGTAGACTATGCATGTCAATTAACCTACAGCAAAGAGTAGTGCAACTACTGTGCAACTGGGTCTCAGCATAGAGAATGGAAACTTCAGTCTCTGAAGTGCTGGCGAAGTGCAGATAGACAATCATACATGATAAAACCCAACAAGATGAAGGCACTCAAGCTAGGTTTCCAAGCCTGATAGCGTGGGAAGGGGGCTGTGGAGGGGGAGACCCTCTTCTCCTTTATGCCACTAAACTGAAACTGGATACATAGTTATTAATTAATTGTATCACACTGTGAATTCCCACAGGACAGACAACAGTTTGGAAGAGCTAGGATAAAACCCTTGTATCTGAGTGTGATGGGTAAAATAATTGATATTGGGAGAAAAAATACTTTTAAATTGTCAATTTGTGTACTAGCTACAGAAATGCATAAAACAGACCAATAAGCCAAATGAAAACTTGTCCAGGCTATGAAATGTTAATAAATGTGTGCAGTTCTAATGTATTCAGTAAAATGTATTATGAAGGTGACAATTGAGAATAGGTTTAAGTTATATAAGCTAGATATTACTATTTATGTATTAAGCAAGTAGGTATGTAGCACATTTTTACTATTTAATTTATTGCAAGGTGTGAAATAATGACAAGCAATTCCTAAATTAAAGCTACTTGACAAAAGCACAGAAGTTCTATGGTCACTTTTCCTCTATCATAAGAAGGTTTTGACACCTGAATTAAGGAGGTAGATACTGAGGCACAGCCATCTCTGTTATCCTCTGAAATCTCTTTGTTCTAATATTCTAATTCTTTCTAAATGCCCAATTCTCTTGCACCCATTTTACACTGGCATAACTCCATTTACTTCAGTGGAGCTTATCCCGATTTACTCAATGTAAAATCAGATTCAGGCTTAAAGTTCCTTTTCATTTTTGCACTTCCCCAATCTTAACAGTTAAGTCTTTCAACAACTATTGAAACAGAGATGAGAGAAACCATCTGAGCAGAACAACTGCAGAATTCATACCGCATTTCACATTGCTGAATTGTTAAACATTCCAGACCACTCATGCTTACTTATCAAGAGTGACAGTAACTGGTGAGGCTGACCAGCAAATCCCTGTAGTGTTAGTGCAAGAGAGTCTTGGTAGATGTTGTGACAGAGTCTAATTTACAATATCAATATTAACAATAAAGGTCATTTACATTTCATTCTGAATTTTGTGTTAAATTTGCTCTATAAAATGTGCCGTACTATGAACAGATGAACACCAAAGTGGGCAATGATTACTGGGGAGGGGGCCAAAGCAGAAGATCAAAGTTGTAATTTTATTAAGTAATTCAAAAACACAATTACTATCGGATCCAGAGTTCAGAGATTTCATGATGGTAAAGTTTATAATGAAAATAAATAACCATGAAAACTGTTGCCAATGAGTTCTCTCTGTGCCCAGGATAAAATCTTGTGTTTCCCTCCCTTGCAGTTCTTTTTTATCTCACTGTTTCAGTTTTTCCGTTTTCCAAAACAGCACAATCTTAGAGTCTGGGTTTGACTCACACTGTTGAGACCAGGGGGTACACACCCATTGCCTGTGCCAAAGGGAGCAGAAATAACTCAGTGTTAGTCACTCTTTTGGGGAGAGTAGACTGTGTTTACAGTACCACCCCTTAGGAAAGGGCTTTGGGGATCCAAAGGAATAGGACAACAGGTAATTTTCAAAGTAAAATAACCAAAAGAAAAACAATTATCAAAATTGATAATTGGAGAAACAATTAGATAGAATTATTTATTACTCACTTCTCACACGACTAGTTCAGGAAAACTGAATCAAAAGATGGAATTATTGATTATGTTCATTAACGTGACTGCACCTAAGGGGTAAATCACAAAATTCACCACAGATTCTTCTTCCTATACACTATGCCCCAAAATAAACCACTGAACTTGAAACACAGAAAATGTTTATTCAAGTAATAAAAAACGATAAGGAAACCAACAATTAGATCACAAGGATTATGCAACTGAGATAACTATAGGGAAAGAAAGGTACATAAAATGAATGATACAATGTAGCAATACTTAAAGCAACCTCTTAACAAGAAATTCTTAAAATATAAAGTAAATTAAAACTATATTGAATGGACTATTATAAAACTGAGTATTAAATTAAAAAAGCTATGAGTATCAACAACAATGGTATTCATTTAATTACTTAGGATACTAATAGCATCAACAGGTTGTTTACCCTCATTAAGATTCACTAGCAGCTAAACATTATTAACATAAATCAACAGCTAAACTTAAAGAAATGTATCAAATATAAACTTCTTGAACCAGATTACAACAACTATAATTCAATTTCATTATTACAATATCTTAAGTAAAGAAAAACAATTTTGATTAAACTAGATAGGTTGGTTAGGACAATATAATTGAAAGTAGCGTCAACTGAAACAAAATCTACCAAAACCATTACTAAAACTTTTACTTTTGGTTTAAGGAAATAGTACTTTGAGGGGTAAGCATGATTCTATAGCTTGAAATTAAGCAGTGTTTAGACACACATGCCAAATCCAAGTGTGTTACTGTGACAACTCTCCTTCTTCCTTGCCCTAATCCCATCCAATGCTGTTCGCTCTACAAGTCCTCTCCTTCCAAAGTGCGCTGTTCAGTGCTAGAATCTCTATCACACCACATATCAATAGGTTTTCCTTTATGACATGCCACTGCTACTTCTTGGATTGGCTTCTTTTTCCTTCAGTCTTGAACTGTTGGACTCTTACCCACATAGTTGTCAGGACAACTCTTTACATGACCAAATCATCTGAGCCTGCACTCCCTCATTTTTTTACTTATGGATGTGACTTTGAGCATGTCTCTAGCAAACACATTCCGCACCTGGCCTTTCTTGCTTATACCCACTCATCCATCTCAATATTTGCTTTTCTGTGGAACAGACCATTTGCTCATGTTTCTTCTTTGTTATCCAACACTCAGCACCATACATTAAAACTGGATGAACCAACATTTTATAGACTTTCCCTTTTAATCACTGGTATCTTTCTCTCCCTCTCTCTCCATCTGAGAGAGGCATTTATTATCTTATCTCTAATTTCATCCTCCATTTCTGCATTTTCAACCAGGGGTCCGGGGCCCCGTGGGGGGGCCATGAGCAAGTTTCAGGGGTTCCACCAAGCAGGACCAGTGTTACACTTGCTTCAGCTTTCTGCCCTGGGCCCCAGCCCCACTGCATGGGACTGAAGCCTGAGGCTGAAGCAGAAGCCTGAGCAACTTAGCTTCACGGTGCCTTGTGGCATGGGGCACAGGGCAATTGCCCTGCTTACCACTTAACGCCGGCCCTGTCTTGTATATGCAGAAAAACAGTTATCGTGGCACAGGTGGGCTGTGGAATTTTTATAGCATAGTTGCGGGGCCTCAGAAAGAAAAAGGTTGAGAACCCCTGCTCTAAAAGATTTAGACTAAGGAACTAGTTTAACAGTATCAATTAAACAATGAATTTTCACAAAGATATGGTAACAATGATGGCAGCTGAAACTTAATTAAGTACTCATCAAACCAAAGATTTTAACATTAGTTCTTTTAAGCAATAAGCCAGATAATGTAGTAAGCCAAGTGAAGTGAAGCGAGCTCAACACTACACACAAAGTGTGAACAATAATTTTGGCAGCTACAGGTGACAGCTTGCAGTTTAAATTCACATCAAATCAGTTTTAGTTACAATGTTGTCAGATTCAAATCCTATAGCTTTGTCCAGTTATGATCTTTGGAGAGTTTTTCCCCATCCTTAAGCTACTATAAAACTCTATTTCTTTCCTACTTCTAGTATAATCTTTCTTTGTATTCATATGGAATTAGGATATGTTAATATCATCTATGGATGTTGTTACATTTATTAATATGGGATTTCAACTCAAGGATAATGGTCTGGATTCATGGAACACAAATCTGAACTACAAAGGAGTTCAGAAATCTAGAAAGGCAGCATTTTCGCTGTCCCAAGATGAATTCCGGCTTCCTTCAAAGCACAGAAATTCCCCATGGAATTCCCCATTGCAGTAAATACTGACTTTAAAATCTTTCCTACACTTTAGAACAAAGTGGGAGTTCTCACCCTTCCTTTTGTTGTCTGAGTCTTGTGGTTTGGTGATGATTTCTTCTTAGTATTTTTGACCTTCAGGAAAGCACTTTCTTTCCTTTGACTGCTTACATTTGGGATTTTTGGACCTTTTAAGGTTCCAAAACCCAGGTTCTTGTCTATAAATGATTTTAGTTAAAAGAAAATGTCTTGGAGAGCAAAGTCACTGAATACTGCTTACATGAACGGGAGGGCTCAGTGTTTGGACCCTCAGGATTTATAGTGGAGACTGGCTCTCTCAGTTGAAGAGAATCAAATCTTTTAGTGGAGAGAGAACAAATTCAGAAATGGAGAGACAACTGGATCTCACTTAGGGTATAGCTGCACCACAGCTGGAAATATGCTTCCCAACTTGGGTAGACTGACACACGCTACCTCTGTTCGAGCTAGCACACTAAAAATACACCAGCTATGCACAGGAGGTGACTCCAGCTAGCTGCCTGAGTATGTATCCCATGCTACACTGCAACTGGAATGATTTTGTTGACAATGCACAACATTAACTAGAATCTATGTCAGTCTCTCTTAGGTGTATTAGTTCTATAGGGCTAGAAGGAGCAAAAACTAACTTTTTTTACTAAACCTAGCAGAGGACTCTGAATACATACATGGGGCATTTTCAGTTTCTTTCCTGATGATAACTGCATTTTAAATACCTTTGTAGGCTGTTGCTAACATAATTCTGATCTCAGTTTGGATGGGACAGACCTGTTATGTGTGCAGGCAAGTCACGTGTTGCTTGTGAATTGCCTTATTAATAACTTCTGGGACAATGGTACACCATCTGTAGGCTGCATGCCACCAGATGTCATGCAACATTTCTAGATGGTTTATAGAGCTGCTTCTGGTCTGAAGGCAAAGCATTGTCAATCTGTAAGAAGACACCTCCTTTCAGCTGCAGCCCAGTCCAATATGCTTAGAATTTCCAGAAACAATTAAGATTTTTTTTAATAAAGCCTTTAAAATAAAAATTTTAAAAGACTTGTGTATTTGATAAGTGAAATCTAGAGCTAATGTGGCTAGAACTTTATGAAATAAAACATTTACAATGCAGCTACA